TGCAAGTCCCATCCATTTCACTGAACATACCTTTTTTAAACAACATGAAAGATAACTGTACACATGGACCTCACCAGATGGAAGACACAGAAATCAAATTGACTACATCAGAGCTCTGGGAGCATAGTGGTTACAAATCGGGCTATGAACCATAAGGTCAGCAGTTCAAAACTACCAGCTGTTCTGCGGGAGAAAGATGAGGCTTCCTATTCCCATAAAGATTTACAGCCTTGGAAACCCTGTAAACGGTTGCTATGAGTCGGATTGATTCCACGGCATATAACTACATCTGTGCAAAAAGGCAGTGAGAAAACTCCCTATCAAAACAAGGCCAGGGCAGACTGTAGAACACATCATTAATGGCTCATATACAAATTTAGTGTGAAGCTGAAAAAAATTCAAACAAGTCACAAGAGCCACAACATGACCGAAACATGAACATATCCCACCTGAATTTAGAAATCATCTAAAGAGCAGATTTGATGCATTAGATACCAATGACCAAAGACTAGAAGAGTTGTGGGATGACATCAAGAACATCATGCAGGAAGAAAACAAAAGGTCATTAAGAACACAAGAAAGAAGGAAAAGAGACACTTTTCCTTGTCAGAAGAGATGCTGAAACTTGCTCTCTAGCACAGAGCTGCTAAAGCAAATGGATGAAATGAAGAGGTAAAAGAGCAAAATAGAAAACTCAAAAGGGTAGCTTGAGAAGGCAAAGTCAAATATTAAAACAAAATGTGCAAAGACCTGGAGTTAGAAAACCAAAGATGGACAATAAATAAGGAAGACTGTAGAAGAATTGACGCATCTGAGTTGTGGTGTTGGAGGAAAATATTAAATTACCAAGGAACGTCAAAGAACAACTAGTTCTGTGTTGGAAGAAATACAATCAGAATGCTCTTTATAAGCAAGGATAGCCAGACTTCATCTCTCATATGTCAGACATATATCAGGAGGGACCAGTTCCTGGAGAATGACATTGTGCTTGGTAACGTGGAGGGTCAACAAAAAAGAGGAAGACCCCAATGAGACAGACTGCTACAGTGGCAGCAGCAATGATTGTTAGGATGGCAAAGGACCTGGAGGTGTTTCGTTCTGTTGAGCACTTGGGTCGTACCGACTGCAAGGCACCTAACAACAACAACAACAACAACAACAAAATATAAAGAACCTACAAAATGAAAATAGGGAAGCAGAGGTATCAATTTATAAAGAAGACAACCACAAAGCAAAAAGAGGGAATGGCATATTTATAGAATTTTCAAACAGAGAAAAAATCAAGCAGATTTCACAACAAACAAACCATTTAAACTGAGGAAGTAATTAATAAAGAGTAACTTCAATCAAAATTTAAAAACCTTCTTATCAAAACAAAAAATACAGGAAAATTATAAAGATTTAGTAATCATAAAAACAGCAGTAAAGAAAATGACCAAAAAACAACTCTCAAACAAAATGAACTCCACACAGAAAATTATGTGGAACAAAGAAACCAACAGCACCACACATACACACACAAAAAAAATACAGTAAAATGACAGCAATTAATTTCTACCTGCTCCTCAGAAACCCTATATAGGGTAACTAAGGGTCAGAACTGACTCAACAGCACTTAACAATAACATTGATAACTACACTGAAAATAAATGGATTAAATGCACCAGTCACAGAATGGCTAAGAAAACGGGATCCTTCATTATGTCATCTACAAGAGACACACTTTACAAAGACAAAAACAGACTAAGAACCAAATAATAGAAAAATATATATCAAGGAATCAGAGATAAAAAACAGCAACAGGCATAAGGTAGAAACATTAGTTTCTGATCAAATAGACCTTTAAGGCAAAATCCAACATGATAGATTAAAAGGGGCATTATATAATTAGCCAAGGATCAACTGATCAAGAGGTGGTAGTGGTGTGCTGTGGAATTGGTACCAACTCATAGCGACCCTTTACAGGGTTTCCAAGGCTGTATATCTTTATAGGAGCAGAAAGCCTCATCTTTCTCCCGCGGAATTGCTGGTAGTTTCAAACTGCTGACCATGAGATTAGCAGCCCCATTCGTAATCACTATGCTACAAAACTCCTTGAACAAGAGGGTATAACCATAATAAATATCTCTGCTCCCAAAGAAAAGGCCCCAAACACAAAAATAAAATTCTAACAGAATTGAAGAAAGAAATAAACAACTCTATAATAATAGATTTTTTTTTTTTTTAAGGTTTTTGTTGTGGATTGAGTGAAAGTTTTCCGGGCACATCATCGGTTTCACATTCAAACATTCATATACCTTGTTTCATTACATTGATTATAATCCCCTCCACATACCATCAGTTAACAGAGTTTTTCTATATCCTCTTTTTTTTGGAAAAACTTTG